GCTTCGGAGGAAAGACAAGCTGGAACACGTAAGGGCTGCTCGCTCCCTGGGTTCTCAGCCCCGCACCTGCCGCTCGCGCCCCTCCCCGAGCGCGTGGAGCGCAGGGGCCGGGTGCAGGGCGCGAGCATGTGGGTCCCTTGTCCCGGCCGCGGGCATCTTCTCCTGCACTTTCTTGCCTCACTGCCCAGCCTGCGGAGAAGGGGGGGGGGGGGGTTCGGTTCCCGCTCAGGCACCACCTGGCCCCTGCACACCCGCTGTGGGGTTTATTTGCACTGCGTTCCTGGGGTACCTGTGCGGGATGATCAAGAAGTGTGGAAGTGCCGCGAGCGTGGTTCCGAGGAAGCCGGTGTTGCATAGCAGCAGGATATTTAGAGGGCCATTTGCTAGTGTGTTGAGGAGTGGCTGGTTATTGAGTCCGGAAACTAACAGATTACGGAAACCACAAAGTTGTAGCTAGCCACCCAGTCTGGGTTCGCGCACAAACTCGAGTTTTCTACCGCGTGTCCGCTGCGATGAGCAGTTGGCGATCCTCTCTGCTAGAGCCCAAGTAGGGAAAAATTTTCGCGTTGCAAAGAGAGGGAAAAGAGGGAGCGGATCGTTCTGTTCCGTGGACACCGGCCGCCCTGGGGCGTGGGACCTGTGGAGGAGCCGGACCCCTGTTCCTCCCAGGTGCGGCTGCTTGCGAGGCGGTGCTGGTGCTGGGGTTGAGCCCCCAAGGCTTGCCATTCTGGAAGGAAAAAGTCCTGAAAAGGCGCCTTAGCGGCTCCACAGTTTCAAATGTAACCCGTCAGCATCTTCTTCAACCGGGTGTTAGGATGAACCTAAGAGAATCAGGTCGAGAGTGCAGCACAACTTAGCTGCAAAGATGCTGTTTCTTCCCGCAGCGCTGCACAGCCCAAAGGGAGTGTTAGTGGAATGAGGAGGTTTCCTTACATTCGGGTCACAACGCAGTGATAACACAGCGGACTCCTGGAACTCTAGGGTCACCAACCACTGCACCTGAATCTCATCTGCCTCCCCACCCCTCCCATCCCCCAGCGCCTCTCCTGGGCTTTGCAGCACCAGTAGGCTTCCCAGCAAAAAGCTTTCAAAGGGTTATTTCTCTACTAGGATGTGAAATGAAGGTTCGCTGCGCCTTTTTTTTTTAACTTAGTCTTATTAAGTCATTGAAAGCGCAATTTAAAGCTTTAAGTTGTATAGCAAGCTCTGGCTTGTGCGTAGTGAGCCATTTGCTAATATCCGAAGCATGTCTCGGCTGCTTAAGACCCGAGAAGTAGCTGAAAGAGGTTTCCAGGATGGCAAGTTTTCCAAAAGGCAACACATACTTTTAGAAAGTGCATGCTCCAGAATTAGTGGAAGCACTGGTAATGTTAAAGGGAGCAAATAGTATCTTGCTGTAATTTGGCTCTTGATGTTAATCTGGGTACCAGGAAAAATGGTCTAGCCTTAACATGATGGTAGGCGATATCTTCAGTATTTTCCCCACTTTGAATGTGTGCTCATTTGCAGCTCGCACCTTTAGCTGATCTGTTTCCTTTATTCTCCTGAAAATCAATAGTGCAGACTTTATGACTGTCTTCTTGAGTCACAGATGCTGCACATATTTCACTTAAATGCTTTCTCACTTCTTGGTTTTCATTGAAAGTATCCAGTCTACCATGTGAGCCATGGCAGCCTTATCTTTCTACAGGAGTGTAGGATGCTAGGTGCTCCAGGGGTTGAGAGGCCGAAGAAAAAATCTGGTTGCTTCAGAGCAGGAGAACATCTGTGTTTTCTCCTTCACTCACATGCTCCCAAAGAGAGCACTGCATTCATTAAAAAAAAAAAAAAATCACCTCATTTGTTATTTAAATCTGCATAGCATTTGTTTTGCTTTCTCAACTATATTTTACATGACATGCATAGTCTATTCTGATGTTTTCCTCTATGCCCACTTTCAGCCAGAAAGGGAGCTTTGCTTCAAATGCATTTATTGGTGATATTCTCTTGCTCCTTGGAAATATCAGACATTTTCAATGAATTTTTATGAAAATGCTTTGAAAGTATTAAGATCATATAAAACGTGATTTTATGTGAATTCAAGCATCTAGTACTTATAATCTGTATCATATTTCATATGCTGGGATGTTTCAGGCAGTTTGATTGTAAATTCTGATATGGTATTTGAGATTTAAAATCTCCTAACAAATGTACTCTGGTACATTCTTGCTATAGAAGACCTGAAAATGTAATGTTGACTTCATTATAGGCAACATTGAAACTTATGTGATGCCTTCTGATGCAGAAGTTGCATGGATTAGGATGAATGTGTCCTAGAAATTCAAAGGTGATATATATGGTGGCTTAAACACCCTTCTGATCTGTCTGATCAAATGGATGACCACTGTTTTTATTATCTAGAAAAAATGAATTAGTAATTATGATGGAAATCATATGCCTGAAAACAGCCTACTCAGTTATTTTGCTGGTAGTTTAAAAGGCAGTCTACGAATTAAGGGAATAAATAAGTTATGACTTCAAATGACACTCATCTTCAGTCATCACAATAATGGAATTCCCTGAGATGAAATGTGGCAGTGTGTGGACTCTGTCCAGACTTCAGAGGCATGGCTTCATCTGAAAGTCAATAACGTGCTGTAAAATGACAGTTAAAGAATCTATTTCCACCCTCTTCACTAAAAACGAGAGTAGTTTCTCTGTCCTTTTCTGGTGTAAAGGCTATAGGACTAACCTCCAGATTGGAGAAAAGAATGACAGGAACTGGCTCCTGTCATTGGTTGATCTGTACTTGAGATGAACACCTATTGAGAACTACATTTATGTGGGAGGATCTTTTATTCTCATGTCACCAATAGAAGCCACAAGGAAGTTGTTTTCTGTACCATGAATTTTGCAACACCACTTAGAAAAATCAAGAAAAAAGTAACGTTCTTGGCCCCAAAGGGAGTGCTGTCTTTTTAGATGCAAAGAATGCTCTTTGATTCTTAGGGTCTGTTCCTTTCTGTTCTTCCACATCATGTCCATAGCTTCAGAGGTGTGGCTTTTGAAGTAGTAGTCTCTGTAGGGTCCTATATTCACTTTCATTCTAAAGAAAGAGTGAAGAATTATAGTCTAACAAGGAAGAGGAACAAGGGGGCACTCCCTGGACCCTTGAGCTGCCCTTGCTCTCTCAGCCCTTTGCCACTTTATCATTTAATAGGGGTTGGCTGTGCTAGAGGACAGCATGGCATTAGTTTGGTGTCCTTTGGTGCTCGGTGCCCTTTTTGAACTTTTCCTTTGCGACGGGGAAGAAATGCAGAGGCTTCTTGGCTCAGGATCTGGGTTTTGTGCCAGTTAAATAGGTGGAAGTTTCCTTTTTGGTCATTTGTTTGTTTTTAATGGAGATGGAAATACCTTTTCTTCCCTACTTAATTGGCTCTTGCTAAAGTAACCAGGGTCACTGGTTAGATAGACCTGGATTTAGATTTTGACTCCATTTCATATTAACTTTGTGATCTTAGCCAAAGGACTTACAGTCAGCAGGATGATCCTTAAAGGAGTCACAGGCTTGCTGGGTTGATTAAATGAGACCATCTACGTCTATATTACAGACAGACTGTTGCCAGTTGCCAGGGGCTCAACACCACAAAATTATATTTTCCCTGATGTTTCTCAACTGTGCATGTTGGCTGTGGACTCACCTTGTCTTTGTTGCTTTTCTGAGGGAGACTGCCTCCTGATACTTGTTTGCATGATTGCCCAGGCAGCTTCAGGGATGTTGGTGACTCAGAATGGCTCTCAATGCTTCCACTAGGAATAATGTGTCCATTTGACACATTTATTGGCCAAAGGTTCATGGCCAAGGCTCACTGCAAAAGGGCTGGAGAAGAGAGAGGTGGCCAAGGCTCAGAAGGAAGAAAGAATTCACGAATGCTGATTAGAACTAACCCAGCACATAAAGCATTAAATGGAGTGTTTGGCCTTTGTTAAATGCCTAACAGGTGTGATTACTTCTCAGGTGCTGCCTGGCTCTCTGGCTGAAACCTAGCACTCCACCCAGAGGGCTTCTACACTCAGCTTTGTCACCAGTTTCCACCCAACAGTTACCTGCATTATAGTCCTAGGCCTTCAGTGCGTGGATCCTTTGGCCAGCAAGTCCAGCTCAGTGTCTTGGCCTGTTACGCTGTCCCTTTGTCTGGTTTTCAATCCAGTCTCTGTGGAATCTGACTCTTCTTGCCCAGGGGACCTTGTTTGCTTCCTGCCTGGCCTTTCTGAGCTGAGTCTTCTGGTACTTATTCTGTGTGCTGGACCTTGCCAGCAGAGAACAGCTCCTTGCCCCATTCTCAGCCTGTGCTTTCTTTCCCAGCTTGTGCTGGTGGAATTAAGTCAACCAATATTTCATATATCTGCAAGGTGGCTCAGACAAGCAATTTTAAACTTGCAAAAGAAAGCAGAAGAGTCAGTAAAGAATAAAAGAACAGAAACCTTAAGGTTCACACTTGCAATGAGCTGCTATAATGTCTTTGTTTGGTAAATGCCTCAAATTTAAAGATGTTCTTCTTGAAGTGTGAATTTACATCAACTTTTAATAGAGTTTATGCTACCAGTGAAGAGTAAATAAATGCCAAGTGCACACTTGCCTCTTGGTATGAATTATTCACATGATAAGCAAGGAATAAATGGATTGAAGAAAACTTGGTCACAGTGGTCTGGCTCATATTATGTAATGCCATTTATGTCCCACAGAGCAGATCCGTGAACGTACTATACCCCACAGAGCAGATCAGCAAAACACCGAAAGACAAAGTTCAACCTAAGGGAATGAATCTTTAAAATGTTCCACTAAAAATCAAGCAGATAAGCAGACACAGCCTGGCAAAGCTTAAGAATGTTAACATTTACTAGGATTATAGGTAAACAAACCAAACTTGAGGCTGAGGCTGTGTTCTTTGCTTGTCTAGCTGATCAATCAAGAGATGAAAGTTTAGATGTCCGTGCATATCTGGATTTTAGTGCTGTGTCCATTATTGTATTGGTCACTATGAAGCA